GTTTTGGTGGTGATTTTCAGCTTAGGCTGAAAACTTCAGCTTCAGGCTTTTGCACATTGCTTAGAACAGAGCTGCTGGTCTCCGAAGCTGCTCCACCTGGCTCCTGTTGCCTCCGAAGTGTGCTTCCGAGTGTTTTAGAGCGGTGCTGTCTGCATGGATACAGCGTTTTAAGCGCTGTGGCAGGCACACTTGATGATGCTGTAGCAGGGCAACCAGCCTTCCTTTTAAAATCAGGTTTTGCATTTATTGTCTTTTTCTGAAGGTTTTGGCTCCAAGTTACAGTACGGTGTCAAAGTGCAGTTTGCAGCCAGCTCCGGCCTGATCAGCAGTTTGCCCCAGCACCAGACCGCTTTCTTGTGGGAGGATCCCCGAGTTCCACATGCAGGTGACCAAAAGGACCTCCTGCTTTTGAAAAAGGGATCTGACACACCTTTACTTTCCAGAGCTGGAGCTGAGGTCCCCAAACAAAACCTGGCCTCCCTTACAGTCCCCCAAGTAGAGTTTATGTAGCTGGCTGCCCAGACACGAGGCAGTTTCCCGTCCAAGCCCGTGGTGGGAGGTAAGCCATGGGGAGTGCCGGAGAGCACGTGTGGGAGGGGGTTGGAAAGCCCCAGCTGTAGAGGGTCTGCTCTTAGCTTCTAAAAACAGCTCAGCCTTCTTGTGGTGGCCCACCTAATTAACAGTTTTGGCATCTGCCCCTTGAAAAACGAAAAGCTGCAAGTCGTTGTCGTGGTTTAACCTCAGCCGGCAACTGAGCACCACGCAGCCGCTCGCTCACTCCCCCCCACCCCCAGTGGGATGGGGGAGAGAACTGGAAAAGCACAAGTGAGAAAAACTCATGGGTTGAGATAAAAACAGTTTAATAATTGAAATAAAATGATAATAATAATATGATAATAATAATAATAATACACAGAGCAAGTGATGCACAGTGCAATTGCTCACCACCCGCCGACCGATGCCCAGCCAGTCCCCGAGCAGCAGCCCCCCCAGCCAGCTTCCCCCAGTTTATGTACTGAGCATGACGTCCCATGGTATGGAATGTCCCTCTGGCCAGTTTGGCTGTGCCCCCTCCCAGCTTCTTGTGCACCTGCAGCCTTCTCAGTCAGTAGAGCA